AAAAAAAAAAAGATTGAACAAGCAATTCCATTTTGATTATGACAACTTTTGCATTTTCCCTTTTCAATCAAGATCTTTTTCCTGTAACCCTATTAATAAATCAGCCTGTAGATAGATTTTGATTATCCCTTGTTGACAGGATAGACCTATCCTGGTTGTTGGTATGGTCTCATCTCACATTGGAAGACACGGTTAATGACTAGTATTCAGTGGTAAACCCTTTTAGCCACATTTGACCTACAAGGTGGTTTGGAAGAAGTGGTTCTCAGACTAAGTTTCCCTGGAGTCCATTGTTAAGTTCATTTGTATCTGTTCTGTAGATAATGTCTATCATCTTGAAGCACCAGGTACACATTATTTTTTAAGGAATTATATTTCTGCAGAAAAGTGGCAGGAAACAAGTACAAAAATTAAAAAGGAAAATAAAAAGGCAAGCCAACAAGAGAATAACAAATTTCATTTGCATAACAATTTTGAACCAAGAATCTAGTCTCAAAGGTAAGCAACTGAATAATCAAATGACCAAATGGAGCTGGGTGAGACATTCTGCAGTATTTGAGCCTGTTCTCTTATTTGCAAGCAATTGGATCCAGTAACCTCAGAAACAGTATTAGCAATAACAGAAATTTTTTCTTATTTAACCAATAAAGCATCTAGAGTAATGCTGTAATTTGATATTCCATGATTACATTATTTAAATAATTTTGCAAAAAAGGGACCATTAGTATAATTTGATCAAATTAGGGATTCTGCCAAAGTTACCATGTGTACCAAAAGATTTCTTAGATCAGAATCTGTCAATAGCTAATCGCAATAGATATTAATTGTAAAATCTTAACTACATGATTGTTCTACCAAGTGAAAAGTAGGCATAAATGAGGGGCAATCAATAGGGTAAGGGTCTCATTAGTATACAGAATCTTGTTCTGACATTATTTTCTCAGCCTGTGTGTGGTTTGAATATTTCTGGTTATGGCACTGAGAATTTTGTTGAAATTTCTATGCAGTCCACACATCAGTCATGAGGTTTGTCTCTTGAAATTTATATTCAAGTTTCCAGCTTCAGTTTGTAGGGCTCTAGAAAAAAGCAATTCCTATTAGTAAATTCATGGGAGAAAATTTGATTGGAGAAAACTAGATGAATTTAGGATCTAGTTCAATCTGTAGATAGATTTAAAAAAAAAAAAAGAAAAAGAAAACCCAAAACCAAAGAGAGCTACAATATAAAACAAGTGTTCCATAATTTTTCTGTAGAAACATATTTTTCTTTCTGTAGTCATACCATTTTTTTCACCAAAGATAATCAAAGAAAAACCAATGTGTTTATTAAACAAAATTAGTTTTATCATATATGGTTTCAATAATATAAAAGCAGCATGAAATTTACCTACTATGTATTAATCTCAGATTTAGAAACCTCTCAAGTCCAGAATGCCAAACCAAGGTTTTGGATTTCACCTGAAGTATCTAATCTCATGAGGTTCCTGAGTCTACTAGAAAGTGACAGTTTTGTTCACCCATAGGTCTAGGAATCTCTGAAGTCAGGCATTCTGTGCATAGTTTTGAACATTCCAATGTTTCCATACATATTTTGTTATAAAGAGAACAGATTCTTATTGAACTTATAAAAATTGACTTATTTCTATAAAAAATAAACACAGCTTCTGAATTTGGGAAGAATCAAATAGGGAAGAAATGAAGTAAATATTTCCACCTTTGTTTAGAAAAATATAACTTAGGGCTGGGGATGTGGCTCAAGCGGTAACGGGCTTGCCTGGCATGCGCAGGGCACTGGGTTCGATCCTCAGCACCACATAAAATAAAAAAATAAAGATGTTGTGTCCACTGAAAACTTAAAAATAAATATTAAAAATTCTCTCTCTCTCTCTTCAAAAAAAAAAAAAAAGAAAAATATAACTTACCAAATTGCTGCAAAATATATATCACACAAAGAAAAGTTTTTTCCTTAAATCTAGACAACAAAAATGTTATGTAAAGAATCAACAATGTTTTAAATAAAAGTCATGAAACCCATACATTTTATTAGTTTCTTTGTTCTCATGTAATGAATTCTTTTATCTTCCCTAGCAGTTTTTTTAACCTATCAGTTTCTTTATTTGAGTTCTGGAAATTTTATTTTAGTTAATTGATTTTAAAGTTACCACATAACTATATTTAGGAATCCTTGTTAGATATTTACAATTTAGCTAGTACTGACTGGAACAACAAACCTTCCAATAATCTTCATAAAAACTTTTTTTGTTTGCCAGTCTAGTTTGGTTGATTAATTAATTCACTTGGGAAATATTTTTAGAAATAGTTTTAAAAATTATTTGTATTCTTTTTTAATTTTTGATTTCTGTTCCACATGACTGGCATAACAATTTTTATGTGGGACATAGAGATCCTTTGTTTGCTTATTTGTTGTGTCATACTAGTTATCAAATCTAGGGCTTTATGCATCCTAGGCAAACACTAACACTGAGGTACACCCCCAGTCTAGCTTGTTATTATTCTAGGTTCAAGATGTTGATGAAGGTATAAGGTTAGTTAAAAAAAAAAAAAAGCAGAACTGTTTTGTCACCCTAATTTTTTTTTGGCCAACAAACAAATTTTCGTTGGAAAGGGATGATTCTTAGGTGTCTAGTTTGCCACAGAGTTGCTCCAAATTGCAAAACCATTAATTTGAAAGTTTTTTTCTTTTCTTTATTTTATTTTAGCTTTATTATTCTTTTTCAAGGTTGTTTTGGCTATTCATGTTTTTTAAGATTCTGTATGAATGTTAGGATTTTCTTTTTGTATATCTAAAAATAATCATTGGGATTTTGAAAGAGATTACATTGAATGTGTAGGTTACTTTGGGCAGTCTTGACATCTTTTTAAAAAATTTTTGATTTATTATATAGGACAACAGAATGTATTACAATTCATATTACACATATAGAGTACAATTTTTCATATATCTGGTTGTACACAAAATAGAGTCATATCCTTCGTGTCTTCTTACATGTATAGGGTAATGATGACCATTGCATTTCCCTATCTTTCTCCCCCCATGTCCCCTCCCTTTCTCTCTCTCTCCTTTTCCTCTTTGCCCTATCTAGACTTCATTTAATCTCCCCCTCCCCCAGTATATTATGGATCAGAGAAATCATCTGGCATTTGGTTTTTTGGGGATTGGCATTATATTCTCCAGCTTCACCCATTTACCTGAAAATGCCAATATCTTTTAATGTGAAATAATATTCCATTGTATATACATATCACACTCTCTTTATCCATTCATCCACTGAAGGGCATCTAGGTTGGTTCCACAGTTTAAGATATTGTGAATTGTGTTGCTATAAACATTGAGGTGGCTGTGTCCCTGTAGTATGCTGTTTTGAAGTCCTTTGGGTATAGACCGAGGAGAGGGATAGCTGGAACAAATGGTGATTCATTCCCAGTTTTCCAAGCAATCTACATACTGCTTTCCATATTGGCTGCACCAATTTGCATCCTACCAGCAATATATGAATTTGCCTTTCCCTCCACATCCTCGCCAACACTTACTGTTGTTTGTGTTCTTAATAGCTGCCATTCTAACTGGAGTGAGATGAAATCTTAGAGTAGCTTTTATTTTCATTTCTCTAATTGCTAGAGATCTTGAACATTTTTTAATATATTTGTTGATTGATTGTATATCCTCTCCTAAAAAGTGTCTGTTCAGGTCCTTGGCCTATTTATTTATTGGGTTATTTGATTTTTTGGTGTTAAGATTTTTTAGTTCTTTACATATTCTAAAGATTAGTGCTCTATCTGACGTGTGTGGGGTAAGAATTTGTTCCCAATTAGTAGGCTGTCTATTCACCTCACTGATTGTTTCTTTTGCTGAGAAGAAGCTTAAGGAAATTTTGCAACAGACACTACAGAAACACAAAAGATAGTTAGAAATTATCTTGAAAATTTGTACTCCAAAAAAGTAGACAATATTGAAGGCATTGGCAAATTTCTAGAGTCATATAATTTGCCCAAGTTGAATCAGGATGATATATAAAATTTAAACAGATCAATTTCAAGTGAAAAAATAGAAGAGGCCATGAGAAGCCTACCAACCAAGAAAAGCCCAGGACCAGAAGAATACACAGTGGAGTTCTATAAGACCTTAAATAAGAACTAATACCAATACTCTTCAATTTATTTCAGAAAACAAAAAGAGGGAGCACCTCCAAACTCATTCTATGAGGCCAATATCACCCTGATTCCAAAACCAGGCAAAGACACATCAATAAAAGAAAACTTCAGACAAATATTTCTAATTGAACATAGATGCAAAAATTCTCAATAAAGTTCCGGAAAATAGAATACAAAAACATATCCAAAGATAGCACACCATGATCAAGTTGGGTTCATTCCAGGGATGCAGGGTTAGTTCAACACTCAGAAATCAATAAATGTAATTCATCACATCAATAGACTCAAAGATAAGAATCATATGATCATCTCAATAGATGCAGAAAAAGCATTTGACAAAATACAGCAGCCCTTCATGTTCAAAACACTAGAAAAACTAGGGATAACAGGAACATATCTCAACATCATAAAAGCTATCTATGCTAAGCCTCAGGCCAACATCATTCTAAATGGAGAAAAATTGAAAGCATTCCCTCTAAAAACTGGATCAAGACAGGGATGCCCTCTTTCACCACTTGTATTTAACATAGTTCTTGAACACTGGCCAGAGCAATTAGAGAGATGAAAGAAATTAAAGGGATATGTATAGGAAAAGAAGCACTCAAATTAGCACTATTTGCTGGTGATATGATTATATACCTATAAGACCCAAAAAAGCTCCACCAGAACACTTCTAGAACCAGTAAATGAATTCAGCAAAGTAGCAGGATATAAAATCAACACCCAAAATCAAAGGCATTTCTGTATATCAGTGACAAATCCTCTTAAAGGGAA